CGATCGCCATGGTGGATACACACCTCCAAATGAGATCTTTTCACTGCAGGCCAAACAGAAAGTCAGACAAGTACGTCGTTTGAAGACCTTGCTTCGAAGATATAAATCTCTGCCTTTGACAAATGGATCGGTGTCCGATGGCCCGGCAGTTCAAGATGCCTTGAAAGAATGGAAATGCATACAGAATGCGTGTGGATATGGGAGTAAGTGGAGAAACTGGATTCTCGGTTTTGAGATGATTCCTGCCATACCTCTCAATCTACCTGACATTGAAATGCTGGAGACGGTCACCCAAATCACACAGCTGGATTGTGATCATGCCTGCAGATCTGAGGCCAAGATGCGTGCCGATTCTTTCAAAAATCGGATCCATGTTGACATACAACATGACTTCAGCAAACTGACCTACAAAATCATACGTGCCAAGGAGACTGACAGCCTACGGGAAGTCCCCGTCAAGAAGTGTTTCAATGCTGTGCTACTCAGATCCAAGGTTGGTGGTACTTGCCTTAGGATTGATCAGGATTTTCAGGTTCCCAAGTTCGCCAAGCTCAGATTGGGTGGTGCTAATCTCGAATTTTTGAAGCAGTGTGACAGGAAGATTTACTTCAGACACATTGATGGAAGCCTTGATAGTCAGGGCGTCTTGGAAGTATCATATACTGCATTGACATCAGAAGAGATTTCCTCTGAGTTTGCTGATTTCTGGAAGCCGATGTGGCAACGGGATTCGAGACAACAACAATTCTCAGGGGATGATTGGTCTGAATTTCAGGCGATTTTACAATCTTGCGAATTGCCACGCATTCCACAAATTGAAATCCCTTGGGATGATGTTGACAGATGGATGAGGATCATCGCAAAACTTCCTGCTGCAAAAGCCATTGGACATTGCGGATGGTCCAATGATGAATTGAGGTGTTTGCCGAGAGTTTGCGTTTGTGATCTGGTATGGATTTTCAAACAGGTGGCTGTTGTTGGCTTCAGTTCCAATTTTATGAAGGCCAAGACGATCCTTCTGTCTAAGATCCCAGTGCCATTGTCGATGCATCATGCCAGACCGATCACTATTTTGAGTTGCTTGCATCGCCTTTTTGGTAAGTTTGTCTTCAGGAGTGTTGCCGATGTTTGGAAGGACCATTTTCCTTTTCCTGTATCTGGCGGTCTGCCAGGAAGGGGAGTCAAGGAGTTGGCCTATGCTCAGAAGAGAATGATTGAAGAAGCGATCAGGTCCAATGATGTTCTTGGAGGTTACTCACTTGACCTGATTAAGGCATTCAACACTTTTGCAAGGTACCCATCGGCACTCATCATGCATAGACTTGGTATCTCTTGGACGTTGCTCAGGTCATGGTTGCATAGCCTTGACAAGCTTGTTCGTTTTCCTGTCGTGGAAGGGCAAATCTCCATTGGAATTACCTCCACAACGGGTGTCCCAGAAGGTTGCTCCATGAGTGTCCTTTCCATGCTGGCACTCTCATGCACCTACTATTTCAGGGTTATTCGGGAACATGTCTTTCCTTTTGCATACGCCGACAACTGGAGCTGGATGTCCAAACAGCAACAGGCGCATTTGACTGCGCACAGGGATGTTCTTGCCTTGACTTCAGCCCTGAAATTATCAATTGACCATGCAAAAAGTTGGCACTGGGCCACCACAAAGCAGTTCCGTGAATTTTGTGCAGCTAACTGTTTGACTCAAGATGGCACTGTGGCCGATGTTAAAACCTGCGTTAAAGACCTTGGTGAAATTGTCCATTACAACAAGAGTGCAACCCTTGGCTTCATCAAAGAGAAGATTGCCGAAGCCATCACCAGAGTGCATCGGATTGAATGGATACCTTGCTCTTTGCAGAAAAAGGCTCACCTGATCCAATCCAGTGCGTGGCCCATGGCATTGTACAGTGCTGACACAACTTACATTGGTAAGAAACACTTTGTGGATTTGCGTTGTGCTTGTGTTACCGCCCTGGTTGGACACTGGCATAGTGCATCACCTGTGATGTCATGCAACTTTCTTTCAAGGTCCCTGATGGACCCTTTCCTGCATACTCTTTGTCAATGCGCCAGAATTGTTAGAAGGTTAGCCACAACAGCACTGTCAATTGCAGCTGACACAGTCAAAGCCATGGTTACATTCACTGGCCATAGACCATTTGGACCAGCTTCCGCCTTTAGAGTTTATCTTAACCAGGTCGGTTGGACGATTGCAGACAATGGTGACATCACGGGTCCTGACCATCTCAAATGCAATGTTTTGAGAGACCATTGCAGAAAAATCATCAACACTTTCAAACAGATGTGGTGCATGTCACTATTAAATCTCAGCGACAGAAAGGGAGTTGGTGATTTTCTTCCTGATCCAGGTTTGTCCATCAGGGTCTTTTCAAAACTGCAGGATGAGGAACAACAACTCATCAAACTCAATGTTGCAGGTGGGTATCAAACCGACTCCATGAAAGCCAAATGGGATGACAAAGTCAGCGGCAATTGTGATTTATGTGGTTTACTTGATACTCGTGAACACAGACTTCTTGAGTGTGAGGCACTGACAGAGATTCGTCAGGAATGGAAAGCCACTTGCCATTTCATCAGTCATGACAGGCCTGAATGGATTTATCTGCCCATCCCCCGGCAACATCCGGAGGTAATGATCCTTAGAGCCTGGACGCAACTCATAAAGGAACCTGCAATACCCTTGATTGTCACAATGGATGATCGCCATTACAGGTTTTTTACTGATGGTGGAGCATTGAACCCGCAAATTCCTTGCGCAAGAGTGGCATCGTGGGCAGTCGTTCAAGATGTGGCCCAAACACCAGAAACAAGGAAATCATCTCTGGACTTTGCTTTCGGCCCAAAGCCTGTTTTTCCTGCCTTTGTCACCACTTCGGTGGGTTTGGTACCTGGGGATCAGAATGTTTCAAGAGCTGAACTATTTGCAGTTCTAATTGCCTTGAGAGCTTTGCATCATACAGACCCAGACGCAACTGCTGAGTTCGTGACTGATGCCAAGTATGTTTGCTTGGTCATCAGGGCTATTGAAAATAAAGTGTGGCAGCGTATTTCACACAGAATTCCGAACGTGGACCTCGTTCAAGAGATTGACGGTTTGTGGCAGTCGAGCAAATACAAAATGTTGAAGGTCAAAAGTCACGTCCCTTTTCAACAAGCCTCAAACCATGATGAGCTTTGGAAAATTGTGGGCAATCACTGTGCTGATCTCGCGGCCACTTCTGTTCTCAATAGTATTCCTGATGATATCAAACAGCTCATTGACTCAATTGCGTGTCATGTTCGTTCTGAAGAGAAGTCTTTCAAAGATTATCTTGACTATCTGGTGCAATTCAACAGATGCAGACTCCAGAAGCTGAATGAATTAAAACAAGACAAAGGTACATCCGTGACTCAGTTCCAACATGCAAGAGCCGCTCCGCAACCATCACTTGGAATCTTCGACTCCAGCTTGATGGGCATTGATGCATGCAGTTTTTTGAAATCTTTTGCACCAGTTGGCTATGAAAGCATACCCAGTGTTGCTGTGGAGGACGAAGTTTACAACATGTGTTTGCAAGGTGCCTACTTGGGGAAAGCCCTCAAAACCTGGCTCGAATCATTGAGATGGCCGACGGATGCTACTGAGAAAAATGCCACAGATTGGGGCATGTCTTGGTTCGAGATGGCCACTTCTTCTTACCTGGCTACAGGATTTCAGTTTCCAGTCAGAATTTCAGGTTCTGGCGCTAAGTCAAAATACGTGCCTTATGGTAGTGATGATGCCATGTTGCTACCGAGCAACCACCGTACTGCGGCTCTGCAAGGGTTGTGCTTGCGTCACATGGTACAGAATCTTGAGACCATTTTACAACAAAAACTGATACCATCTCCCATCATCACAAAGTGTGGCTCTCTTATCAGATTGGGTTTTAAACCGCCGGTAGCTGGGGTTGCCCGGAGACCTATTTTGCCCAACTCGTGCGAGACTATTCAGTTCACGTGGGACTACATTTCTTCCTTGGAGGGATCTGGAGTTCTGAGTAGACCAATTTACAAATCCAACTTGCAACCGACAATGGCAATTCCACAGATCGAAGATCCATCGACGGCAGACAGATTTAACAAGTATGCGACATTCATGCGAAGGCTGCGCAAGGCTCGCGCCAATGGTGGAGGTTGATGTGTAATTAGTAATTCATTTGCCATGCGTTCACTTCTCTGTTTAGTTTCCTGCAGTTTTAGTCTTCGGTACCCGCCACCTGTGCTTGGGGCCGGGGATTGTGGACTCCAGACTCCGCACGCACCCCGTCAAAACTTGGATGATGTTCTCAGGTTTTTTTGGGTAGGGTCATCAATTCATAGGAATTTAGAGCATTTTCATGAATTTTCTATACCCATAATTTTTACACTATGTTGGGATTCCGATTCTGGGATGAATGGCCATACCATTAATATCAACAATGTTTTGACCATGGCACACCAACTTGGATTTCATGGATTTCATCATAAGCCAACCGAAAAGGGGGAACCAACAACGAAGCTGAGGAAGCAAGGGGCATTTAGTCAACCAACAATGTAAATTTAATCAAACAAAGGACATGATGGACATGTAACTAAGCAATGTGGATCAACCTACTGTATATGCTGTTTGTGACACAATCAAAACTTGGCATTTTGTTCCCCTTCAAGCGCTTTCGGGGGTCAAAAATTTGAGCCACAGCCATGTAGGGATCTTGGACATGCTGTACTCTGACCCAAAACTGGTGGTTTGACCGATTTCTTGCTTCTATGCGGGGTATGGGTCAGTGGGTCAGTTTACCCATCATACATCATACCATATCAAATCCATATCATACCAGATCCATATACCATACCCTCTGGTAATTTAACATACTGTAGCTATTGAAAATGGCAATTAATAGTGGATTTACCCAGAGGGTATATCTTATCCATATCATATCCATATTTTGGGATGAACATTCATTGCCCAGCTGGCTGCTCAGGTTGGACAGTGGATCCAGTGGATCCAGTGGATCCAGTGGATCCTCCTTTGGTCCACGTGGCGTGGAACATCCCCAGGGACGGAGTCATGGTCATTAGTTGCCTGGAGCCTTGGCACCAGGGGGCCGAGGATGCCTAGCTGCCTAGAAAATGGCCATTGATGGGGTGATTATGGTTGATTTACCTATGAAAAATGGTGATTTTCCATGATTTTCCAGTTCGTTATGTAAACGTTTACCAGAGGGTAAGCTGTATCACTGGTTCTTCGAGTTGCATGTCCCCAAGAAAGCTTGATTTGTGGGATATTTGATATAACATGACATAACTTGGTTTGTCAATCGAACACGGTTGGGAAATCTCCGCACTAAATGGGGCTTTCAATGGAACAATCTTCGAAATCAATTGCAGCTTTCCAGCAAACCATATTTGATCACCAGAGGGCAACCAAAACTACTTACAATTTTGTGAGGTCTGAAAAATGAACGTCAAAATGGGTTATCGTGGGATAGGATGTGTAACCGACAATATGATAATGATAATCAAGACAAAAACCAGTCCCAGCATGAGTATGGCCTAAAATAGCGATTCGAACAGGGAATGTGATGACAAGACAGTGGATTCCAGGGTAATCCTGTTTTTGGACAAGCCCAAATCTGCTAACCCCGGTCATTTTGGGGACTTGGTTGACAATCTTTTACAATTTTTTTTCAAACAAGCAACTTACTACTGTAGTTGCGATGATCCTTTGGGTGTCAGCCTTTGTAATCAAATTAGTTGGTTTGCAACAGGCCCCCAACACCTGTTGCGTTCCCATTTGCATTTTCACTGTTTGTGTGTTGGTTGAAACAGATGTTGACACCATTTCAAATGTATAGTGGTCCCTACTCCAGCGAAGGACAATCCCTTCCCCTATTAGTAAACGTACCCCAAATACTAAAAACTAGGGTCCGTGTTGAATTTCGGGAAATTTCAGACTGGCCAATTTAATTTTTAATTGATCCCCTTTCGAAGACAAATTGAAAATGAAGGCCGATTTCAGGGTTTCACCCCCTAATAATAAAACATAGTCAACCCAGGGTGTTTTTTATTAGGATCCGTCTTTCAAGATCGGAAAAAACAACGTATTTTATATTAAGGTTTTTAATTTAATATCCGGGTAAAGCTTCGAAATCCAAATTTGAGCAATATTTTAGTTGGATTTTAAAAGGACATCTAATCGATTTTGAAATAGAAAAAATAGTTTTTTATATTAGGGTTTTATTTTATATTAGGGGGAAGCTTCGCACCCTAATACTAAATACCCTCTAAAACTCCTCCAGGTGTTTATTTTTTTTTGGGGGGGGGGACCGTTTAGTAATAGGGGGAAGGGATTACTCATGATATGAGCCACCTCCACATGGCCACGGCTTAAATACTGGGTACCAATGGAGACACTAATTTGACATAAAACAATCCAAATTTTGAGGCGAAGGATTTTTAATCTTTATTTCTCACAACTTTTGAAATCACTAAAAACCACTGAGGACTTGGCTGTGGCCAGTGCCACTTGTCTTGACTGGCGGATGGAGGATTAGTCCTGGGTCCCGCAATTTTGAGTCAAAAAGATGAACGGAGATTGTATAGATCTAAGCTGTAAACTACAAAGATTACACAGTGACACCACAATGTCTATAAACTTCAAACCTGGTTTTCTTCTACTGTAGAGGTTTCTCCCAAAGATCCAAGTGAAAGTTGGTCAACTCCCAATTTTCGTTATTTTGATGGTTCATTATTCCCAGACAGTTTCCTATTTTACGTGTGAACTCCCCATCTTTGTTGATGAACTCACATTTTCTCTTGGTTAACTCACCGTTTTTGATGATTGAATTGAATCCAACATTTTGTTGGTTCACGGACCGTTTTTGATGGTCAACTCACCATTTTTTGCACATTAGAACCTGAATATTGTTGGCTGGTTCACTAACGATTTTTTGCTTGTTGAATTACCATTCTTTGCTGATGAAATCCAAGTTTTTGCTGGTCATTAACTCACCGGTTTTGCTGCTTAACCCAGCACTTTGGCTTGTTAACTCACCATTTTTTGCTTTTTTTTTTCCATATTCTTGATGGTAAAGTGACAATTTTTGCTGGTGAACTCACCCTTTTTGGTGGTTAAAACCAAATTGTTGGTGAACGTCCCACATCCCCGTGGTGCCGAGGTGGATCAGGAGCTCCCTGCACTGATGCTGGCCGCGGGTGATGCCTCTGGCAGCGTCACAGACACTCGCCAGGTTTCAGCGGGTTGTCTTAAAATTAGGCTCCCAATTCCAATTGATTACTGCTGTTAAAACAATAATGACCATCCCCATAATCACCATTTTGATGGCTGGTATAAACCATCAAACATGAGGTGGTTTATTATCGTTTAACCCACATTATCAGATTATCATCATTGTCCCGAATAAATGTATTGGGTATAACTATAGGTATTCCAACTGTTGGGTAGTTGGACCACCGCCCGCAATAGCCCGTGGGTTTGTTACTGCATTTCTGGATTCTTCTGTTGAAATTGATTCGTTCTCTTTGAACTTGCGTCATGTCACCATGGGGTGAGGGATGCATTTGGCTTTATGTTTGTTCGTATGTCTATCTGCCTGTCGCTATGTATGCTTTGTATGTATGCCTGTATGTACGCATGGATGTGTCGATGATACACACGACACGTGTGTCTTTTTGATAAATGCATGCATGCACGTGCGGAATTGTGGTACTTTAAATCCCTCGCAAAGCAGGGACCAGGTGTAAGCATCCCTGTGCTGGCAGGGGCTGTGGTGTGGCAGGGGTGCTGTAAAGCCTTCCTTTTCCAACTGATGGAAAGCCATCAGTGCAAACCCACCTGGCGTGGTGAAAAATAGAGCTGTCCTGACATGACTATGTATATATATATATATGTATAAGTATATATAGATATGTACTTATCTACACATTTTTGTTTATGACTGACCCTGGATTAGTTGGTGATTTCTTTCTTATGTAGGTTTCTGGCGGTTTGTCATTCACACATTACCTTGTAGGTACTGGCTGGCCATTCATTAATGTTGAGTGTTCATGAATGTTCATGAACATGATGTATATTCAAAATTGGAAGTGAGTTCTGTTATTCTTCGTTGTTTCTTTCCCCATGTTTTTTGCTTGATCGTGGTTGTTCGTTAGTGATTATCCAAACCATGTCCCAGGATTTTTTGTCCCCAATTTGTATAGCCATATCACCCCACATACATATAACGTGTATAAATAAATAAATATATATACTGTATATATGTAGACATATATATATGTATACATATAGAGCTGAGAAAAAGCATGCAACTATATATATATATAATATGTATGTGCATGTAGATGGATGGACTCTGGACTGTCTCTATGCAAGTATGTACCTATACATCACCAATACATACAGGAAGCCCCTAGATCGGCAAGTTGGTTTATAACTGGGCGAACGCCTGGATCCTGTAGGCCTTAAGCTTGGATATTGGCCTTGAAGTGCGATTGCTTATGCATATATGGATACACATTATTGCGCATATATACATATACAATATGTATATGTGTACACATTAATGTACACAATTAAGAGGAATGTCAAAGCAGAAACTCTATGTATATGTTGTGTTTTTAGTATATTAAACATATATATATAAATAATCTGTGTAGATATTGATGGTCTAAGGAACTCATACCATTACAATATCTACATATATGATGTCCCAAACTATTTGTTTGTAATTATTATGACAATGGTATGGTTCCGTTGATGATATTTTGATGATATTTATTATAACTATTTTTTTTATATTATGGGAAACGAACAATTGGAATTACTGTATATCATTACACACAATATGATGAATATCATGGAACTATCATTAACAAAGGGTCATTCCCCATAATATGGTCATATCAGAATGGTAATGATAACACGCCAAACATGATAACCCTAATTGTTGGTTTTATATCCCATGACTCATCCCATATATATATATATATGTATATATATATACATACATACCCAATAGATCACCATTTACGTTTGGTTATATCCCATTGACTAGTGGAATATTTAGTGGGATATAGTGGGATAGAACTGATAGAACCAACCACACAGTGACATATCAATAAATGGGATATAACATGATATAACCAAACAGAAAAAAAAGGATGTTGCTGGTTCACGAACCTTTCGCCATCGTCCCGCGGATCCGACCTGGACCCGACCTTGTCGCGACCTGTCAGGTCTGGTCCTTGACGGCTGCCGGGGACCTGGCCTCGCCCAAGGGCTCGGGCCGCTGGTCCGGGATGGCCTCTAAACGCTGGCCCAAGGGGCAACCGGTGGCAGGATCTCACTGGGGATGGGGGGGAAGGATCGGTTTTTCCCCGGGTGGATGATTGAGCCATTGAAGAATCCAATAAACATAGGCTTTAACTATGAAAAAATGGGGATATTTTAGTGGATACAATAGATAAATGATGGTTGGTCGATGATTTTTTGGGGGGATTAGACTGTCTAAGATGGTGGGGGTTATCACAATCCATGAGCCCCTTCTTAACCAACCAGTATAAAGATACAGCACAGGGTCTTGAACACTGCTCAACTGGGGATATATCCTCGTAATTTTTCACCAAACTATGGTATAGATGGCCCATTCATAGATGAATATAGATGATTTACCAATGAATAATGGCTATGTTGAATTACCAGGGGGCAGATGTGTATATGTGCATAGATGCATGCAAATCTATAGGAATATTGCCATGATCCATGTACAGTGGGGAATATTCCTATATTTTTTTTTGGATTTATCTCTATGTATTTATACGGCCAGGTGCTGTGTGTTGCCCGGAAGATTCAAATGGCGTTTAAACATGTTGTCCGCATCCTTAACGTTCGCCCAGACTCATGATTGTGACATAACAGAACAATATGTTGATTGGGGAAATAATATCAACTTTATCTTCATCAGGGATCATTCGCCACCCCTTCTGAACAATACGTTGATTGGGATGATAACACCAACTTTATCTTCATGAGGGATCAAAATTCGCCACCCCTATGACCAATGTTGAATGGGGTAATAACATCAACTTTATCTTCATGAGGGATCAAAATTCGCCACCTCCTCAGAACAATATGTTGATTGGGGAAATAACATCAACTTTATCTTCATGAGGGATCAAAATTCGCCACCCCCTATGACCAATATGTTGCATGGGGTAATAACATCAACTTTATCTTCATGAGGGATCAAAATTTGCCACCTCCTCAGGACAATATGTTGATTGGTGAAATAACATCAACTTTATCTTCATGAGGGATCAAAATTCGCCACCCCCTATGACCAATATGTTGAATGGGGTAATAACATCAACTTTATCTTCATGAGGGATCAAAACCAGGAAGGCGGGACATCAACTCCGGGCAAACGTCCAGGTTGCAGCGAACATGTTTAAACATTATCCTTCAACATGCTCAAACACTGCGCAGGGCCAGTGTTTTGAGATTTCCCAGACGACGAACCCTAAACCCTAAAACCCTAAACCATCCTAAACCCTAAAACCCCAAACCCTAAAATCCCAAACCCTAAAACCCTAAACCCTAAAACCTAGGCTCTGAAAACTTTGAATCCTAAACTGGAAAACACTGCGTATAAGCAGTATTTTCATGTATTTTCTGCAATATCTCCTATCATATATTCGACAACACGACATTCTCAATGGTAATGTCTGGGCAACACACGGCGTCTGTGGGTATTTATACATATATATCTATCTATACATACATACGTACGTACGTACGTACGTACGTACATACATACATATATATATATATATATATCTAGGTTGTACTACAATGTTTTGTGCCTTGGGATGCACACCCATGTTTACCTATGTTGAAGGTCATATATGAGTTCCTCTGAGACAGAGATTCCATCCATTGATTTGTTATCGTTTTTGCGCTTTGCAAAACACATCTTTTGGGTCTACCCCATTTCCCATATGCGTTGTCTAATCAGAACAACTATAGCTAGTATACAATAATTCCCTGTCCAATATTTTTCATCATTATTTACTAGGCGGGGGTCTAGTACCATCTCCAGAGGGCTTTTGTCATGAACTTTCTCGTCGGCGTAGTCATATCTGTTTAATTTATACGTATATTTGTTTGTTTGTTACGTTCTTGTAAATTCTGCATGTGGTAAACCCTCAATCATAAACCTCAAATTGGGGATGGTCTATACCACATGTTTGTGATAAGATTGGGATGGGTGGCTATTGGGTCGTCCACATCGGAAGGATTACCTAACAACTAGCTCGGTGTTTGAGCTGCGAAAAGAGAGGGCAAGAACTGCACCTGTGCAGCTTTGATATTTGCAGCTACCCAGTTTCAATAGCTTTTGTACTGTATGGGGCTGCCTTTGGCGATTGTAGAGATCTGCGTGACAACACAAGTGTGATTATTTGAGCATGTCTATGGGTCAAGTCCAGCTTGAAGCCCTGGCGAGGCTTGCGGCTTCTGCACATCAAACCTGCGCTGGTGGGCATCCTTCGCTATGGACAGCAGAAGGCGCAGTGGCTTTTGGCTGTCGCCTCGGGCAAGGACCGACCACTTCCACTGCGATCTGCCCCTGTGGCCATGGCAATTTGAGGGAATATCCTAGTTTGGCCTCTGGTATCCTCTGGTATCCTCTGGTATCTTGTGGTATCCTGTGGTACAGGTGATTTAACATAGCCAATGAACATGGTCATCTATAGATGATTTCAGTCTATAAACAATGGGCGTTGCCGTGTGGCCACCTTTGAGGAGACTGCATCAGTTTCATTGCCGACAGTTTTGGACTTTACTTAGACCATTCCAAGTAGCCATGAAAAATTGCTAAGGGCTAAGAGTTCCCAAATAATGGGTAGGTTGTCCCTTTTTTTGTAGGTACTTGGAGGGTCTAGGTACATAGATATTCACCAGAAGTTCCAGTTTTGGTTGGTCAAACTTCATGGCAAAAACTATGGCTGTGGCCCAGATCTCCATTTTCCAATATGGAGCCCCCACTTATATGTTGGTTTATGTTCACCCATCTAGCTATACCTATATATATATATTATTTATATATAATTATGTGATATACCTGACATAAACTTAGCCTCTCTCTCTCTATCTACCTACATATATATATATATACATATACATACAACTGACCATAAACTACATGATATACACCGTAGTCATTCTACTGTAGTTAAGCACCAGCTTGCCATAGTTTGGGGGCCCCACATGATCTTCCCAAGCGGTGCAAGGATGTGATCGTGCTGGATGGTTTGACCGGACAAGAGATTCACCATGGAGTGGCAAAGCAACCACACCTGGTGCAAGCGATGGAGTGGCGCTGATAAAGAACCTGACTGGTGTAGTAAACCAAAAAATCTATTGGGAATTAACCATCAAAATAACCATCAAAAGTTGGGATTTAAGCATGACATTATCATAAACCTTTCCAGCACCCAAGCGTTTTGGTGTCTTTTTTCTCAACAGCCCACTACTAGGAGGGTATGCGCAATGCTATAAACTTCATGGGAGATGGAACCTCAGGGCGGGGTGATAGTCCCCAACAAGTTTTGAGCATGGGCAATTTTGAAAGGGCATTTTTTTAGTTGGTGCCCCTACCAATCCATCAATTTGCGTTCTAGTTCACAGCTTAGCTCCAGTATCACTCAGGGAAGCGTACTGATACTACTTGCTGCTTGGAGAGTCTGAATTCCACATATTGCTTGTATGGTCCATCTGTTCGCTGGGCTGAGTATAGTGCAAAGGGTAACTCAAAATGTTTGATCCCAAAAGCTCGATGCGTAGCACTCAATAGTGGCCCCTATTGATGGGTCTTTGCTTCCCACCCAAAAATGGCGAAATGATATTTTATACATATACTGTACATGATTATCTAATTATATATATATATATATATATATATTCATAGCAACAGGAAAATTTGGGCCTGAACTCTCAGTTGGCTCGTGAAGTGGAGATGGTACTGTCCAGCAGTCTTGCTCTTAGGAAAGCGGTACTTGAGAGCTTAAACTTGTGATTGAGAGCAAGGTCACAAAGTTGTCGCCATTGGCTCAGAATTTGGGTGTATATAGACAATGTTTTTTTTTTTGGGTGGGGGGAACTAGCCGAACTCACAGTGATGACTCGGTGACGCAAGTCCTCTCAGAAACTTAACTGGGAAAGGTGAACATGTAAGCAACATTCACTACAACAAGATTGCAATTGTTGGAAAACATTCACGGAGAATCAGAGAGGTGTTGGATATGATTGATTATGTCATGTCATTCGCCAAAGAAGTCAAGTTTGCTTGCGCAAGATCATAAGGAGTAGTCGCTTCCCCATCAATATCATGTTGGCTTCTTGTTTTTTTGTCTTCCTTGCCTTCCGCCGGACACGCTTACGACGTGGACCGAAACAAACCCGTCGCGCGCTCGATGGCGAAAATGTTCCAGGCAACCTGCGCTGCAAGCAGGTATCCAAACACCGAGATACCATGTGTATATATGTATATATATATATATATACACACCATATATATATAATTATGTATATATATATATGATATATGTGTCAAATCAAGTCACTGGGTACCTGTAAAAGATGCGATGGTTGACTGTTCAAGTGACCGTCTCACCATCCGAAGACGGAAGTATTGACGGAACGTTTTGGCTTCATCGTCTCCTGTTTTCGCACACCTTGATTTGGGTCTCTGGAAATGGCCCAAAACAGCATTGATATACTGTATATAAATGGGGAAGATGATAAGGACCAACCTCTGATTTTTTTTGTTTTTCCTCCAAATTTTCAGCCCATGTCTGGGGCTCTGGGCAGTACCCCAGGATTATCCTGGCGCCGGCTACTTGCGCTTGCGAGGCCTGGGCTGTACTGTAGTGTTTGGGCTGGGATGCCTGTGAAAGTCGGTGGTTTCACCAACAAACAATGGGGTATTTATTTAACATGATTGAACTCGACAAAAAAATGGTGATCGAATGGGGATATTATATGATATGATGGGATATATATATATACAACATTATACAACCAACTTGATATGATTTTGGGTTTGTCTGATAATGCTTAGTGTACATTTAGAAATAATGATAAATCAGTGGATGGAATGGGGCACTGTACCGGATTTTCAGATATGCCCAGATAGAAAAGAGGGGCTTGGATTGGAGTGGAAGAAGATGGTTGATATTGAAAGCTAAAGTGATATATATATATATGCCACTTGCTAATCGAACATTGATGGCTCGGAAATCACCATTTTCAATGCGAAAAGATGAACATACAATCCATACATGGGGAGGTTTCCATTGCCAGTTTGAGTTTTTGGAGGGTAGAGGGTACTGTATCCGATATCCATATCTTATTATAGATCAATATCAGCAGACTGTTTGCTCTGATAGTTGATATTGGATCCGGTGGAACCGAAACCGGGTATGCTGAGGTTGCAAGGATACACTGCATTGGGTGGTGGCTAGGGTAAATACACCTTTCCCCTTTGCCCTTTCCCCGGAGAGATAGCAACAAGAATGACCATCAACATGTATATATTAATTAGCAAGGATTCCCTCTTCTATCTTATCTTGTATTTCATTTTTTTTTAAATAGCCATCAACAAACAATCCATACTTGGGGATTATTGTTGGGTATACCCCTAGCAATGGGATAGTGCCCCCAATCATGGGGCATGTTGGGGTCCATGTACACCTGGCTTCCAAGAGATTAGCCCTGCATTGGGAACGATTTTCGCTGGATTTGCTGAAGAAACTGAGCTCAGCCGCGGCCAAGGCCTTCCATTTAGCTCTGGAGCAGCTGAGGTGCTACATCGGTACTTGGTGAACCCTGGTTGGCAAACCCCAAGTATAGGTTTATAGGTTTACAGTGGTCCACTTATATTTGGGGTCATGACCCAATATACAGTAGATTGCAAGGCCAGTTGCTATTCAGTTTAAAAAGGGCAAGCTCAACAAAACACACCAAACACATTAGGATGATTCCCCCCTTAGCTGCACTCATGTGCAACGTTGTGGCTGAAGTTGCTGCTAGTGGCAGTGACTTAGCCATATATGGCTTTGTTTGAAAGTAGGGTGCCCCAAAATTCCATGGTTGATCATGGTTTTGACCAATAGAATGGCCATTTCTCAGGGATTCTGAGGGTGCACTCAGTGCACTCCCCCATTTTCAAGGTCTCCGAGTTCTTTGGAGACTTTGGAGTAGTGGAGGAGTGCAATTTTTGAAGCGCCATGCTGCGAAATTTGGGGCTTGAACTGTGGATTTCATTCGGTTTTCAGTTCCAAAAGCACGGCCTATCTGAGTTGCATCCACTGCGACCACCAGGACAATGTCATCCTGGGAACGAACCTTGATGGTCGACCCAGTGGAGAGGTACAGCACCGTGATTTCATGGTGATTTAACCATCAAGAATGGTGATTTAATGATAGCATCATCATTAGGATATCATGGGGAGACCCCTGAAGTTATCAAACATTGTCGACTTGAGTTGGGTACCTGTCGGTTTTTGGACTTCCATTCCACAGAGAGTCCAACTCTGTCCTGTGTTGCAGCTGTTTTTGAGAGGATTGTTTCAAGGAGAAAGGCTAATATGGGGAGACAATACCTCTGAATTGCCATGTTTTGGGTGATACCAGTAGTGATGAACATCCAAAGCTCCTAGCTATTTTGGTCTTCATCCGGGGATTCCATGGGTTTTGAGCCAGATAAACCTTGGTTTGTTGGCTTCGCACATGGGTCAGGTTTTTTGGGCCATGGAAACATCAATATTTATCAGATAACCTAAATCTGTTTGCCATCCATGCAGTATAGCTTATTACCATTGAACCTTTTTGCGGGGTATCCAAAGCTTTTAGTATTGTGAAGCCAAACATGAACTGACAAAAGCGCGAGATACCCTCCAACTGCCAGACTTGGGAAACTCTCAGAATTGGTTTATGGATATTTATGGATACATTCTGAGTTTGGGGTTGAAAATCTACGGACTCCTCTGAGTTCTATCGTGAATCAATCCATCAACTAAGTGTGGGGATGGTTTGTTAATACAACTACAATTATCAACCATTACGATTATTGGCACAGTATTCTTACTATCATGTCCTTTGTTTTTACTATTAAGCTTTCCTTTTTGTTAATAGTGGTGTGTGGTGTTCTTGCTATTCTTATTATCATCATTGTCATCATTTACTATTATTACGATTGCTGTTAACAATAATGACAATACTATATACTGTTTACCAAATAGCTACATAATAAAAATGATACTATTGTAACAACAACATCATCATCAGTATAGTATAGAAACCTCTTAGTAAATAATAACAACCAACAACAAGTTTAGTTTTTCTTGGCTGAATCCCAGAATAATTCTACTCAGTTGTTACTATTGTAACAACAACACTATCATAGTTATTAAGGGAATTAAACATAGCAACAAACACATTATATAGTTGCTAATCACCTATCATAGTATAACATTAATAATAACAATGGTGTGTTATTCATTGTAATAATAACAATGGCGATTCATCCTATAAATGGATCATACTTATTAATAACATAACCATTGTGTGTTATTCATATAGCAATCACACTAGTTAACAACAATGGTGTTACTTTTAATATCTTTTAATAATCAATAGTACTAATCCATAACAATCCACATTAGTAAACTGGGTCTCTGGTGACCATAACGTCAGACTTTCACGCCAGGCCTGGGTCCAATTTGTGGATACCAGCAGCGCGGAGGAAGCCAGGTGGAGAGTCACGGCTCGGGGTGGTTGACTTGGCCACGGAACTGTTGTGATCAAATGGCGAAGAAAAAGCATCCGAAAATGGTGAATTTTTAGCATCCAAACATGTCCAACCATGGTGATTCAAACCATCCAAAACGGGTGGATTAACTCGTCCCTGCTACAGGCGGCAAAAAGATCGACAGTCGATTGGAGGAAGATATATTGAGATCTTCAGCCACTCGCAAAGCACTGGCGCATTGGTCCCGGTGATAGGGATACCCCTGGCGGAAGATTGCGGAGAGGAGGATCCTTGAAGAGTCGTTTGGCTCTTGCGGATTAAATTTGTCAATTTCCTGATGTTCAGTGATGAGAGCACGTTCCTTTTGCTCTTTGCTTTTTGCAAAAGTAAAGTGAAAGGTCAACAGATGGAAATGGATTGCCATACTATTTTTTTCTAGAGGTTTTCGTGTCCTGTTTCTTTAAGGACTGCAAGAACCAGTGGTTTCCTTTCATGGATGATGGTCTGGTTTTGGTTTTTGCGGATCTGACTCCAGAGCTAGCATCACTTAGCAAGATCAAGATACCACGTACTT